GATGATAGATAGATGATAGATAGATAGATAGATAGATAGATAGATAGATAGATAGATAGATAGATAGATAGATAGATGATAGATAGATAGATGAGAGATAGGCAGATAGATGATAGATGATAGATGATAGATAGATAGATAGATAGATAGATAGATAGATAGATAGATAGACAGATGATAGATAGAAAAAATAGAATATTATGGTATTCTACTACATAGAAGAACAATCCAATATTCATCAAAGGAGCTCAGGAGCAGATCTAAACTGGCAGAAAAAATAATCACTGAATTTGAAGATAGGTCGAGATTATCTAGTCACAGAAGAAAAAAAGAATGAAGAAAAATGAAGAGTTTCAGAAACCTATGAAACACCATCAAACATACCAACATATGCATACTGGAAATCCTATAGAAAGAGGAGAGATTGAAAGAAATAAAAAAAAATTTGAAGAATAATAGCCAAAAATCCTCCCAAATTTGAAGAAAAACATTCATCTGTACATTCAATAATTCAGCAAACTCCAAGAAAGATAAAATCATAAAGATTAACTAGATACAGAATCATCAATCCAAAGACAAAGAAAGCATCTTAAAAGCAGCAAGTGAAAAGCGATACATCACATATGAGGGATCCCAATAAGAACAAGAGCTGCTTTGTTATCAAAAACAATCGAGACCAAAGGCAATAAGATGACACAATCAAAGTGCTAAAAGAAAAAAGACTATCAACCAAGAATTATTTATCCAGCAATGCTATCCTTTAAAAATTGAAAGAGAAATTAAGACATCCCAGATAAACAATAACAGGAAATGATCACTAACAGAACTGCCCTATAAGAAATAATAAAGGCAGTGCTTCAGATTGAGTTAAAAGGACACTAGGCAGTAGTTCAAATCCACACAAAGAAATAAAGAGCACCAACAAAGGAACTACATAGGTAATTATAAAAGACAGTATAAATGTATTTTTGTAACTCCTTTCTTTCACCCGATTAAAACACAACAGCATAAAGTAGTAATTATAAATCTCTGTATGATAGTAATAGTGCAAAGGAGGGGGTAGAAAATGGAGCCATATAAAAGTAGAGTTTTGTACAGTATTGCAAGTAAATTGAAAAAGAAATTTTAAGAAGGAAATTTTTAAAACAGAAATTAAGTTGGTATTAATTTATATTATATTGTTAAAAATTAAGGCGATAGGTGTAACCCCTAGGGGAACTGTTAAGAAATAATTTTAAAATATATAGTAAATAAGTGACAAGGAAATTAAAATGGTTTACTAGAAAATATCTTTACAACAAAAAATAAAGCAGTCATGGAGGAGTAGAGGAATAAAAAAGAGATAAGACACGTAGAAAACATGTAGCAAAATAGCAAACATAAATCCTACTTTATTAGTAATTATAGTCAATGTAAGTGAATTAAAGACTAAAATGAAAGGTAAATATTGGCAGAATAAATTAGAAACATGATACAACTATATACTATCTACAAGGGACACACTTTAGATTCAAAGACACAAGGAGATTCTAAGTAAAAGAACAAAAAAATATACCATGCAAACAGTAATCAAAAGAGAGTTGGAGCAGCTATATCAATATCAGACAAAACAGACTTAAGACAAAAATTATTAGAGACAAAGGAAGGTATTTTAAATGATAAAAGGATAAATCTATTAAGAATGTATAGGGATAAATAAACAATGCAACAATAATATTTAGAGACTTCAACACTCCATTTTCAATAATGGATAGGACAAGTAGGCAGATGAATGAGAATACAGAAGGCTTTCACAACACTGTAAATGAACTAGACATTACAGACATCTACAGAACACTTCACCCAACAATTGTAAAACATAAATTCCTTTTAGGTACCCATGAAACATTTTCAAGGATAGACAATATTTTAGCTCATAAAATATACTTCAATAAACCTAAAAGACTGAAATCATACAAATTATGTTATCCAACCACAATGGGGTAAAATTAGAAACCATCAACAGAAGGAAATTTGGAAAATTCACAAATATGTGGACATTAAACAATACTGTCTTAAATAACAATGAGTCAAAGAAGAAACACAAAGGAAACTAGAAAACTCCTTCAGATGAATGAAAACAAAATATGACATACAAAAAAATCATCAAATTAAGCTAAAGCAGTGCTAATAGGGAAATTTACAGCAGTAAACACACATTATTTATGAAAGGAGAAAGACCTCAAATCAATAACTTAATGGTCAACCTTAAGAAACTAGAAAAATAAGAGTAAATTAAACCCAAAGCAAGCACAGGAAAAAAATGAGAGTGGAAATAAATGATCTTTTCTTTGAAAAGATCAACAAAATTGATAAACCTTTAGCTAGACTGACCAAGGATAAAAATAGAAACTCAAATTCTTAAAATCAGTAAGGAAAGAAAGACTATATAAAGGAATATAATTAACAATTATATGCCAAAAAAATTAGATAACCTAGAAGAAATGGAAAAATTCCTAGACACAGCTACTGAAACTACAGAACAGAAAATTTGGACATGTAATCGATAGGAAGACTGAATTTAGTAATCAGAAAACTTCCCACAAAGAAAATGCTAGGCCCAAATGTTAAGTATCTAAAAAAGATTAAGATACTTAAAAATAAATTTAACCAAAGAAATGTAATATATACTCTGACAGCTATAAAACATTGTTGAAAGAAATTAAAGATCTAAATAAATGGAAAGACATCCCATGTTCAAGATCAGAAGACTTAATATTGTTAAGATACTAATACTCTCCAAATTGTCCTATAGATTCAATGCAATCCCTATCAAAATCTCAAATGGCTTCTTTGCAGAAATTGACAAACTCACCCTAAATTTTAAATGGAACTGCAAGGAATCCAAAACAATTTTGAAAAAGCAGGACAAAGAGTAAGGACTGATATGTGCCAATTTCAAAACTTACTACAAAGCTACAGTAATCAAAATAGCATAGTACTGGCATAAGGATAGACAAAGACTAATGGAATAGAATTGAGAGTCCAAAAATAAACCTTACATTTATGGTCAACTGATTTTTTATAAGAGTGCCAAGACCATTCAATGGGAGAAAAAATAGTCATTTCATCAAATGATGCTGAGACAATAGGTTCACCACATGCAAAAGAATTAAGTTGGACCCCTATTCACACCACACCCAAAAATTAGCTCAAAATGGATCATATACCTAAATGTAAGAGCTAAAACTATTTGCATATCATATATCTAATAAGAACACTTATCTAGAATATATTTTAAACTCTTAAAATTCAACAAAAAGCTCTGGCCAGTGTCACTCAGTTGGTTGAGCGTCATCCCATGCACCAAAATGTCACCGGTTCAATTCCCAATCAGGGCACATGCCTGGGTTGCAGGCTCAATCCCCAGTAGGGGGTGTACAGGAGGCAGCCAATGGATGTTTTTCTCTCATCGATGTTCCTATCCCTCTCTCCTCCCTTCCTCTCTCTCTAAAATCAATAAAAACGTATTGGGTAAAAAAAAGACCCAGAGTGGGTAGCAGAGAATGAATGCTTCTGTCCTGGAGCCAGGGACACTGTATCTTTCCCAGGTAGAACATGTTCAATGGAAGGGTCTTGCTCATTGATGTCCTGACCACTTGTTGATCTGCTTCATGGTAACAGTCAATTTTTTTAGCAAGAAATATAGTTTATGGGAAAAGCCATCTTCATTCCTCTGCAACTCTGACAGAGTGACCTCCTGTCTTCCCCTCCACCACCAGAATATTTTTTAGTTTTGTGGTCCCTCAAAAAACAAAAACAAAAAATGAGCCTCTTCCCTCATCATTCTACAGAACTTCTGTTCCCCTTGTTACTTTCCAATCAACACGCACTACCAGGATTCCCACTCCTATTCCAACCTCACCCTCCTGGCAGCAGCAAGTTCTGCCACTTAGCGTTCCATGTGGGATTGCTGAGGCCTTAATTAAGAGAAAAGTCATTAAGAATGGTATCAGCCTGGCCAGGCGTGGTTCAGTGGTTGAGTGTGGGCCTAGGATTCAGGAGATCGCTGGTTCAATTCCTGGTCAGGGCACATGCCTGGGTTGCCGGCTTGGTCCCTGGTCAGGGGCGTGCAGGAGGCAGCTGATCAATGACTAGCCTCTCATCATTGATGTTTCAACTCTGTCTCTCCCTCTCCCTTCCTCTCTCTGAAATCAATAAAGATATATTTTTAAAAAAAGAAAAAGAATGATAAAGGTAGAAGAAATAGCTGACAAAACAGGGGTATAAGGGGCAGGATGCTTTATAGGCTTCATAACAAAGGTAGACAAATAACTGTGTGGAGTTCAGAGGGAAGATGCAAGCCAAAAAGGTATCAAGGGAAAATGAAAAGAATCTTCCCTTTTACTTCGTCTGCCTGGTTGTATATGAAATGTCCCTCAGCACATCCTTTTAAATTACATTGCCCAGGTTGAACATAATACACTTTAATATGTACCCTTTAAATTTATTTTATTTTGAAATATTTTTTATTGATTTTTAGAGAGGGAGAAAGAAGGAGAGAAACATCAATATGAGAGCAATACATCAATCAGCTGCCTCCTGCACGCCCCCTACTGGGGATTGAGCCCACAACCAAGGCATGTGCTCTGACCAGGAATCAAACCAGCAACCTTTTGGTGCAGGGGACAACACCAAACCAACGGAGCCATACCAGCCAGGGCTGTACCCTTTAATTTTAGATTCAACCTTTGTCTTCCTTAATTCCTACAAAGTAAACTAAACAGACAGGCAAATGTGGACTCAGAGGTTACATTTTTATATAGAAGAATATAGGACTTACCACTCTCTTTTCCCTGAAATCAATGCCCACTGTTGTGATAAATTTGGAGTTGAATTTACCATCTGTGTACTGGTAAAGTACACTGGTCTTCCCTACTCCAGAGTCTCCCAAAGCTAAAAACTTGATGAGATAATCATAGTCTCCATCAGACATAATGAAGAACTCTGGTTCACCTGCAAAAAAAAAAAAATTGCAAATTTACTGAAAATCCATTAGAAATAGTAAATCTTCCACGAATAAAGTGACCTACTTTAGTATCCAGGTCAACAAGTACTTCTATGTAACACCTATATGCCTGAGTATTCTGTGAGGGGAGGATTAGATATTATTCACTGTCTCCAAGGACCTAACAATCTGCTAGAAGAGATGCTACTGAAATAGTAAATAACTAATATTTTAGTTTAAATTCAACGTGCATATTATAGTACTGTTAATACAAAATGTTCCACATGAGAATGATAAACAAGAAGGTAATGATCATTAAGTCTAATATGCAGATCATAGAGAACAAAAATTAACAAAATAAAAAAACAAAAAACGAAAGGAGAATGTTACAGAAATAATGCCAATTCTCAGAGCACAAGTGGTTCTAATTCCCCCCTCCACCCACTTCTTTTTCAGAGTCTCCTAGTGCTGGATCCTTGGCTTTTCTCTCTTTTTACTTGCACATCTAGGCAACTTCACTTATCCTATTAATTTTCACATGTCATTATAGTCCCTTCAAAGACAATGCTAAGTTATCAAGTAAAATTTGGCTTGCAGCTTCTTTATATATTATTGTTATTATCATTACATGCTACATATTAAATCAGACTTTTCTGGACTTGCCTGCTCACCTGGGAACTGAGTTCCAGATCAGAGCAGTCACTGCACAGAGACACATGGAAGGGCTCATATACCTACACTTGCCTTGGTATTCTAACAAGAAATGTTACCAATTCAGCTCTTTGATGGTGACTAACACATAAGTCCACTTTGGAGAAGAAAAAGTCTCACTTTTACCAGCAAAACTTAACCATGCTTATTTTTTATCCTTTGCAATCAGCACTTTACATGATTTTTTAATTATCCTCTAAATAGATTCAAACTATTCAAATTTCAATCTGACTAAAAATGTAGTCTGTCTCCCAGGAAGGCTTCTTTCTATCTCCCATTTCTAATACCAATAAACCTTCCTGAAAATAAGAAAAAGAATCAGCTATCTCCCTACCACTGACAACTCTACTTGCCCATTCAAACACACATACTCTCCCACCCACCCACACGCGGCAGACTCCCTCCAGCAGATGCTGCAACTGGACCACAAGTCTCAATACATCCTATAGATCCATAAAATTAATAAAAACTCAGGCAAGGATGTTTATCAGTTTTGAAGGTTGCTTCCCCAACCCCACCCTCAATTTGGTGACTCACTTTATGCTAAAAAAATCCTGATTGCTGTGACCCAAGAGCCACTGCCATGTACTTCCTCGGAGAGCCTGAGTACAGATCTGTGACTTTACATTCAGATACGGCTGGTCCGACAATAAGGGCAGAGCCTTGACAAACATTCATAATTCTATTTGCACACTATAAAGAGTGACACCTAACAGATGATGGCATCCCTATGTTACGGCTTCTGTGTTCACAGGTGCAGGTTGCCGGTGTTAATGGTATATAGCAGAATACTTCTCCAAAAGATCACCACTTGGGTACAAATGAACGTTTTAGTATGTCATATCGCAGCATCTCACTGGCTCCAAGTTATTCAGAAATATGAGCTAAGAATTGAAAAGTAGGTCCAGATAATGTTTAATCATCTTGGGGGTTCCCCTCAAAATGAATGAGGAACAGAAAGGAACTCCAAATTCTGCAATGACAGTGATGCAAGAAGACATGGTGGCTGCCTTATTTCCTCTTTACATTTAAGGTACAAAAGAAAATGTTACGAATGGCATCACTATTCTAGAATTTTCTAAACCCATTTGAGTGTTATTTAAAGACAGATGAGCCCTGGCCAGTGTGGCTCAGTTGGATGGAGTGTCATCCCGTACACCAAAAGGTGGCAGGTACAATTCCCAGTTAGGGCACATACCCAGGTTTCGGGTTCGATCCCCAACCTAGTTTCTCACATACCAGCTACTCAGATGTCTTTCAGCCTTGTATTTTATGTTTCTATTCTATGAAAAAGAAGATAATATACACTATCTCACAGCAGTGTTCTAAGGACTGAGTGGGATACTCCTTGTGGAGTGCCCAGCACAATGCTTGGCATATCCTGGGTACTCAGTAACTGTCCGCTCACTCCTTTCTCTCCATTATGGACAGATTAGACTGGCTCTGAAGACCTAGAACAATTTCTGAAATTGCGACTGGGAAGCTCAAAACATATGTTTAATAACACAAAAGACTGCTGACTGGCCCAGGGTAGTAGTATTTGTCCTAAATTGGCCACAGTAACCAGGCTCGTCTGGGTTGACCAGAAGTCTGAAGAGTAAGGAAGCAGCAAGGAAATAAAAGGAGTCAGGGAACAGGCAAGTCTTCAAAGTGATAACGAGGATTTTTTTAGGGTTTGGACAGGGTGTTGATGGTGACAGGCTCCTTATCTGGATTTGTGGTCCAGACAGTCAAAGCCTAGAATTAATGGAACTGCTCCATCTTTCAGCAGAAAATAATCCTAATTCATAGCAAATGACAACCCCCCCAAACCCATCCTGCAGTCCCACATGTGGTTGTCCCACCCCTGCTGATCACCACTAAGTGAAGGTAACTTCATGTTAAGGTTCAAGTGCTGGTAGGTTTTCATATAGAACCAACTTCTCATAAAAAAAAAAAAAATTATTGTTTCTTAGTTTTGTTACTCAAGTCCTGAGCATTGTTTTGGGGGCCTGTTTTCCAAAAAGAAAAAGAAAAATACTACACTCACCAAGTATGGAAATAATATAAATTATTTTTTATGTCAGCATTTTAGAACAGGGGGAAACTGTAAAAACACACAGTACAGAATTTGACATTTGGGGCACCCAATGCTATATACATTTTGTGTATAGCATTTCCAGGATGTAGTACAGCCTATGGATGCTCGGAAGCAAGTAATCAAGGCTTCCCAATTGCATTGCTCTTGCTAAAAATGAGTGGGAAACCTAGGTCAGATGCCCATGGGTCAAGCGCTCCCCATGCATTAGTGTAACAATGCTCATCGCAGCCCCAGGGCAGATGGTAAACACCACACATGCTTCTACCTTCAGAAGGCTCTCGGTGCCATTGTCACAGGTGCTGCAATGAGGGGTTGAGTAACTGGGTCTTGGGCAGTCTACCCACATGTTAGCATGGGCTCAATGCCAACACATTGTTGAGAGACAGAAAAAATTGGAGGCTTTATTAATTCTAATGTGCATCCGCTCTTATTTTACCTTGTTTAAAAATGGGGTGAGTCTTAACATTTCAGTCTTACAACCCATGACACCTGACGGATACTATTAAATCAGGGGGCACGTATGGTTGTGTGAAAACCTTTGATTGGCACCCTCTAACAAGATCAAGAATGCACCATCAACACATTTTAGATATGATGAAGCATAACAGTAACCCCATCTCACATGGCTCTTGTGAGGATAGAGTTAGTGTATACATGTAAAGGTTAGAACAGTGCCTGGCACACATTAAGTCCTATGTAAGTATTAGCGGCTATTAGCATCATTATCTAGCAATCTAGCTTCCAAAGAGCAATATGCAGACAACAGTCCTTTCCCAGAACAGTTAAGAAAGAGCTGAGTCCTTACACTAACATTTAGTAAGATAAAAAATAAGGATCTATGAAGAACACTTGAACCTGAGGTCATTTCTTTAAACTCTGTACCTTCTTGAAGAAGTAGCATGTAAATACCTCAAGGAAATGTCTCCTAAAAAGTTAAGAATGCTTCAATTTGGGAGATGCAACAGACTTTCTTATTCAGCTCACTTCTCTCTCTCCTCCTTACACAAATATTTTTTCAAGGCGCTCTCCACCCTCACTCTCATCGGATTAACAATAGAAAGCGAGGAACACCCACTTCCTCAACATGTACTTCGTGGTGATAATTGCCTGGTGAGAGAAAGTCACCGATCTTCCTTATTTAAAAAAATAAAACACATTTTAATTGGTTTTTCATAGAATAAGATAGAAAACAATGGTTTTAGTTAAGAGTAAAGGGTAAAGATCTATTTCTTCCTCTCTCTCTCACTCACACACAGACACAGACACCACAGCCCAAATTCTCCATGAAGCTTCCTATTAAAGTCAGTCCTAGACTCCAACCTTCAGATTCCCTATNGACACAGACACCACAGCCCAAATTCTCCAAGAAGCTTCCTATTAAAGTCAGTCCTAGACTCCAACCTTCAGATTCCCTATCAAGGCAGAGTCATTCCAAAACTCCTCTAGATAGGCCAGCCATTTTTCTTAGAAGCCAAATTTTCACTCTATCACCCATGGGGTGGGATGATATTAACCGAACTGAATAACTACCATGTACCATGTACAGTACTAAACATTAATGACTTGATTTTACCTACTTATGATCCTTAAAGGGAACTTAATGTATGTACAAGATTTACACTATATAGGGTGTATTCAACTTCTGACTCTTTGTGTAACATTGTCCAAGTTCTTCAAACTAAGCTCCATTCTTTCAACTGTAAAAATAGAGATAGCATTACTAACCTCATTGGGTTATTTTAAGAATTAAGTGACATAAACCACAGAAAGCTTTTAGCCATACCAATAGCTTCATCAAGTTCTTAAGAGCAAGGCATGTAATTTTATAACCTATTCTTAATGTAACCAGTATCTGAACCTTTAGAAAAATCAGAGAGAAATTCAATTTAGGTGTAATAGCTTATGAGGTCTCTATCCATCACAAAAGCTACCTTAGTATTCCAATCTAACCATTAATTTTATCTGTGTGATTCTGGGCAATTTCAGATCTGGAGTGTTCATCAGACGAATGCTCTAATTTCCAGAACAGGAAACTGAGGCCTAGAGAAGGCGAGTGAATGGTCTACAATCAACCAGCTGGTGAGATAATTCCATGTCTTCTAAATTCCAATACTATATTATTTTCTAACATACCAAGATTTTTGTTTTCTCTGTATCCCCTCCTTCAGAGCCAAGAGCCTCAGTTATAGCTGCTTTGATTCAGGAAGCAAAACTTTT